AAAGAAAGAAGAAGAATACAAAAACGAAGAAAATGAAGAGCAGCGAACACAATACCAAGATGCAGAAGAAATGAATATCGAGGAAGACGAAATTCCATTAACTACATATAAGGCAATTAACGACGAAGTAGCAGAAAGACAGGACAAATTAGAAAAGCAAATTGAGCATATGGGAAGAATGTTAACCGAATTGTTAGAAAACGGTCAGTCAGCAATCACAAAAAAGAAACAGCAGTCGCAAAGACAATAGAAAAAAAAAGGTGTTACAACAACTATAACCTAAAATATGATAACACAACAAGAAAACAACAAAAATATCAAAAATATCAACATGTATAAGGAAAAAAGAACAATTGCGAAAAATATAAAAATTCAGACAATCAACATAAATGGATTAAATGAAGAGTTCAAAAAACAACAATTGCAGCACTACTATCACCAGAATGACATAACTATAATGGGAATATCTGATACCAAATTCAAAAAAACAACAAATAAAAAGACGATGGGGGACAGTAAATATAAGACATTTTGGGTGCACACTGAAAAACATTCAGGAGGAGTGGGACTAATAGTCCAAAGGAACTGGGCCAAACATATCAGAAAGATAACAAGATGGCAAGGAAGAATCCTGGCTATGGAACTAATATTTAAAGAAAGACGCAGCATAGGAATAATACAAGTATACGTTCCACCACAGTTAAGCCAAGAAAGAAAAGAAATGATAATGGAAATGCGGAAAATCTTAAAAGAATGGAGAAGAAGACAAATAGTAGGTACAATTGTCATGGGAGATATGAACACAACAACTAAAGATGATATGGATAGGACGGGAGGAAAGGAGCCAAAAGAGAAGAAAGAGTGGATTAAAATGCTTAAAGAATTTGAGCTGTATGACACGTATAGACAACACAACAAGAACACAAGAGAATATACTTGGGGCAGTGAAACGAAAAGCAGAATCGATATGATATGGCTCTCAGAAGACTTGAAAGAGTTATGTAAGGTAGCGAACATAATCGATATCAGGCAACAACTTAACACAGATCACAAGATAGTTGCTGCAAAAATAGACCTACATACTATTACGAAAAGCATAATGAGGATAAGCACAACAAATGAAAGGCAAGTGTACGACTACAGGCAGATGAACGAAATGAAATGGAAAGAGTGGAGAGAAGAAATAGACCATTCGAGTGTGAGAGGAAAAAACAAGAAACCAAATAGAAAATAGAGAAACGGAAGAAACAGAACGGGGAACAAACTGTAAATGGCAGGAATTGAAGGATCGATGGATAAAGGCAGCAGAAAGAGTTATTCTGAAAAAAACCCTAAGAACAGATGTACAGGTGTTCAGCAAAAAAATCAAAACAGCACAGTTCACAGCCTTTGAGTAGAGCAATAAATATTGCGAGAGAAATAGAGGAGAAAGAAGAATTGGGAGATAAGAAAGGGGCAGTAGAGAAAAGAGACAGAATCAACAAATGTATAAAAGCATTGCCAGAAACAAGAATAAAATTAAGATATTTGAATGGAA